GCATTGTCCCTGTGCTACAATCCCAGGGCAACACCTCCTGAAACCACTAATGCCATTCCTCCCAGGCCTGCACATCAACAAAGCCACAGGGGCCTCTCTCCACATCCCCGCTCCTTCCTCCCTCCCTCCGGTGGGGCTGATAGGAGTCCCCAGCCCTTCCTGCTTCAAATAAAATGATACACGAAAACACGCAATGCTCTATGTCTGTAAAGGAAACACTACATAATTTTAGAGAATCCTAAAGTTCATGTCTTCACTGACATTTTTTCCATATGAAACAGCCCATTTCTTAATTATTCAAAATAAACTTGGCTCTGCCCTCTCCTACTCAGGGTAGTGGGAAGTACCACCTCAGACAGGATAGGGGGACCACTCCTCATCTCTTGGGGTTCTGTAGTCCAGAACATTCAGGGAAGATTGCCAGGACTCAGTTCTTTTCAGGCCTGCAGAGTGAAGAGAAGCCAGCAATTCTGAAGGCGGCAGGAGCCGGCCCCCACCGCAACTCCAAGCCTGCCCACCAGTCCAGTCCTCTCTGGCACCTACACTCTCCTTACCTGCAATGCCTATTCCCTCAAGGTCTGTGGGGGCTTGGGACTTCCCACGAAGTCATGGTGCACTCGGCTCTCCCCTCCCTAAGCCCCTCCGTGCTGCCTCCTCTCCACCTCCATGCTACATCCAGTGTATCCCCTCCCCTTCACCCGCCTCCCGCTTCCTCTGCACTGGCCTTTGGAGCTTAGAAGCGTGTTGTGATACGGTTCAGCAGGTCCTAGGCCCTAGATCCACAGCTGCCCCTGTGGTCTGTTCCTGGGGCCCTCCATGGCTCCAGGATGACCAGCTTGCTTCACCCTTCTAAAAGAGAAAACACAAACCCTCTTGAATTTTTACATCTTGCTAATTATTATTTTTTTCATGGTACTTGGAGAATGCAGAATATCAGAAAATTATAATTATCCAAAAACATCCTTCAGTTATCCAGTTGCAAGAATGACAGCATTTCAATGCTGAAAAATGTCAAGGATCATCTCTAGGGTAGTTTCCTCACTTTGCAGAAGATAAAACAGAACCAGAGACAGAGAGGTACAGGGAGCAGGCCAAGGTCACAGACAGTTTCAGGTGGAATGAAAACTAGAACTCAGATCTTTCTCCTCTGCAAAATTGCTCGACAAGAAAAAACAGACAAACGAAAAATTGGCAGGGCGCTGTGGCTCACACCTTTAATCCCAGCACTTTGGAAGGCTGAGGCACGCAGACCACTTGAGGTCAGGAGTTTCAGACCAGCCTAGCCAACATGGCGAAACTCTGTCTCTACTGAAAATACAGACATTAACTGTGGGCGATGGCACACGCCTGTAGTTCCAGCTACTCAGGAGGCGAGGCAGGGGAATCGCTTGAACCCGGGGGGAGGGGTTTGCAGTGAGCCAAGATGACCCCACTACACTCCAGCCTGGGGAAGAGACTGAGACTCTGTCTCAAAAATAAATAAATAAATAGCATAAATAAAAATAACAATAAAAATTTGCCCAGCATGGTCTAATTTTAACAAGTGAGCCTGTAGTCGCAGCTACTTGGGAGGCTGAGGCAGGAGAATCTCTTGAACTCAGGAGGCAGAAGTTGCAGTGAGCCAAGATCGCACCACTGCAGTACAGCTTGGGTGACAGAATGAGACTCCATCTCAAAAAAAAAAAAAGAAAAAAAAAAAGTCCAGGCATGGTGGCTCACGCCTGTAATCCCAGCACTTTGGGAAGCCAAGGCAGGTGGATCACCTGAGGTCAGGAGTTCAAGACCAGCCTGGCTAACATGGTGAAACTCCATCTCTACTAAAAATACAAAAATTAGCCTGGCATGGTAGCTGAGGCAGAATTGCTTGAACCCAGGAGGCAGAGGTTGCAGTGAGCTGAGATTGCACCATTGCACTCCAGCCTGGGTGACTCCATCTCAAAAAAAAACAAACAACAAAAAAAAAATCTACCTCTGGCTCAAAGTAACACATGCTCATGTAGCCAGAAATTCTGAACTAATAACCAGGTCTATCTCATGCTAGTTTCCACAATAAGGTATTTATGAAACCACCAGCCCTACCTGTTCTAAATAACTGAATAAAAATGTGGATGCTAATTGAAGATTAGCATCATCTGCCATCAATGTTAATATGCTTTTTGGTTATTTGCAATTCCTTTTTGTAAATCTGGGGGAAACATCATTGTCCAAATTAGCTCTTTTCACTCAATAAACGCCATATTAGTATTCTGAGGTTTGCGTTTGCCTACTTCTTATTTAATAAGGTCAGATGAGAAGCTAGTCAAATGACTTCCATTTCACTGAAGAGGGGTAGCGAGTGGGGAGAACTCAAAGCCCTAAAGGCGGAACTCCCTGGCAGCGGCCCCCCGAGGCACAGCACTGCTGGGAGCAGCAACTACCACCATAGTGGCCTCCCCTGAAGGGCTGGCCCAGATGGGTGACACTAACTCAGGTGGCTGCAAGGTCCTCTGCCTGGATCTCGGTCCCCGTCCTCCCAGCGCTGCTGCAGTTATCATCAATGACAGCTCCAATGTCACCTTCTCTCTTGTCCCCCAATGAAGTGGCCATCATCAACCGGGCACTTTCTATGCCACTTTCATAGCACGTCTCAGCATCCAGAGGGCTCTTTCGTGTCTGCCTGGCTCCCTTGCTGGAACCGAGCTCCATGACCACAGCAACCCTGACCACTCATGCACCCCTGAAGCCCCGGTGCTGACACCAAAGGTGTTCAATTGATTTGTTGAAGGAATGGAAGTAGGAAGGAAAGTCTGAGCTGCTCAGGGCTTCTGGAGTAAGTCTCACACGGAAAGTGGAGGCTGCACTTGTCTCAAATCTTTTCCAAACTGTGTTTTTAAAAAGAAAAAAAAAAAATCAGTCTTTGAAATCAGACTCGCATCCAAATCCCAACTACTTTAACCAGTGGCAGGATCATTGGGGCAGATGGTTTAACCTCCCAGAGCCTGTTTGCTAAACTGGAAAACGGAGGAAATGACACCAATTAAGTTAAGCGCCTGGCTCTTTCTAAATGTTGGCTCAAACGGTGGTGACCCTTCCCAGACTTCCATCACTACTGGAAGTTTGGGTCCCAAAGCAGACACCCTCATCCCCTTGGCTCCGAATGCAGGGAGCGAGTCCCGAGAAGCCCAGGGGAAAATGAAGGCGCGCCCTGGCCCACCCTCCCCACGAACCCCGCCGCAACCCCTGTCGGCCCCTTCCGGCCCCCGGTGGGTGGCCCCAGGCCTTGCAAGGGTCACGCCTCTCGGGTCCCGGCGCAGGGAAGGGTCCAAGCAGCGACTCGCAACCTTTTCGGGGTCCCGAGTCGAACAACAACATGGTGCCCATGGGGTCTCCAACACCCGTGCGGACCCCATGGGCACCATGGCCCCTGGCTCCAAAAATGCATTCGCCGGTAGTTTCGAGGGTCGGTGTTGCATCACCCCCGCGCAGCGTTCGACTAAAAACCCGGTTCTGATCCCTCCGCGCCTCCTCTGCCCCCGCAGAAAGACGCGCAGGCAGCACGCACCACGTGACGGAGCGTGACCGTCCGCCGGGAGCGCGCAAAGGTCGGGCGGGAAGAGGGCCTATTTCCCATGAGTCCTTCATATTTGCATATATGATGCAATAATGTTAGAGAGATAATTAGAATCAATTTGGCTGTAAACATAAAGATATTAGTACAAAATATTGATGCAGAAAGTAATAATTTCTTGGGTAGTTTGTAATTTTAAAATTATGTTTTAAAATGGACTATGACATACTTGCCGTAACTGAAAAGTATTTCTATTTCTTGCCTTTATATACCTTCTAGCAAGCTCCTAGCACCGTGCTCGCTTCGGCAGCACATATACTAAAATTGGAACGATACAGAGAAGATTAGCATGGCCCCTGCGCAAGGATGACACGCAAATTCGTGAAGCGTTCCATATTTTTCGCCCCAGGTTTGTTTTTGTTTGTTTGTTTTACACCACGTTTATACGCCGGTGCACGGTTTACCACTGAAAACATCTTTCATCTACAGGCTATATCTTTTGTTTAACACAAATAAAATGCAGTAGTCCTAGGAGACGGAATAGAAGGAGGTGGGGCGTAGGCAGACTCATCTCTGCGGTGCATTTTGCATCTGGCTCTCCGGCCCCAGTTTGCGATCTTTCCTATCTTGTCTCGGCTTCCCTCTGCACAATCCTGAGTATTGCAGTACCTTACACTTAAGGAAATTTCGTCTTGCCAGAGTTGATCCATTTCAGCTCCGAAACATAACAGGACCTAGTGCAACGACAAACGTATAAGGAACTTGCAACAAGAGTGACCGAATCCTTTTGGGGGGGGGGGGGAAGCCACCACTTAATGAATATCTACCATTTGTCAAGGGCTTCACCAATATTTCATTGAAATATTCCTGACCAAATAAATAAATAATAAAAGAAAAGAAAAAAGAAAATGGGGGGGGAGAGGGCAGAAAAATAAAATAATGTTTTAAAAATTCCAGACTGCCCCACCCTGTGGGTTTTACTGTTTTACTGTCATCATTTTACCCCAATCACTGAGAGGTAAAGCCTGATAAGACTTATAGAGGCACAGACCCTGAAAAAATCGGGACCCAGTCCTCAGGTAATTGAATTGCAAAAACACAGTCCTAAGTGGTAAGATAAGGAGGAAACAAAGTCCAACCACATTCAGATTTCCTTCGACGACTTAGTGAATGTTTTCTGAAATATCTTTCCAACAGAGAAATGGTGCATCTGCTTTGCTAGTGCTTGAGCATGCATGTAGTCCATCTCGTGGGCCCTGCGGCCACTGGGACCTCAGTCGATCTGCCTCGAGCGGTCGCACAGCTCCCAGCCTCCAGGCGCGCCGCAAGAGGACGGTCAGGCGCGAAGCCCCGGAGCCACCCAGGGACAGCGGCGGTTACTCTACCAGCGGAAGCTGGGAGCTGCCGGGCAGCGTTCCATTCAGAACCCATTCCTTTTCTCTTCAGTGGAGGTGAAATGATCCTTTCCAGGTAACAGCCGAGAATAGGGAACCGCGGGACATCTCCGCCTCTTCCTTGGCTCAGGGCCTTCGATGTAAGGCGTTAGAGGACAATCTTTGGTGACTGGATTTCTGTTCTTCCCCTAGAGATACCTCGTTCTTTGGAGGCTACTTGGGCAATTGGGTGAGTAGTTTTAAATGTCTCCCTAGGGATGCCAAATAAGAAAACGACCAACGTCGGTGTGACTCCCTCTCCTTCAGCACAGACAATCCATCAGACTGGAATATTATTAGTCTATGTATGTGGAAGGGGGTGTTATGGGGAGTAAAATAGAATCCAAGAGTGAAGGACTTGGCCCAAAAAGCACTGTTCGCTTTGTTCTAATCCCAGCACTTTGGGAGGCCGAGACGGGCGGATCACGAGGTCAGGAGATCGAGACCATCCTGGCTAATACGGTGAAACCCCGTCTCTACTAAAAAAAAAACAAAACAAAACAAGAAACTAGCCGCGCGAGGTGGCGGGCGCCTGTAGTCCCA